CCTAAAAATAGATCGCCTCAAATTTAAAGCTAGTTTTTTGTTTATTTTGATTTTTTAATTTATTCAAAAAATTTTTTAGTCTCAGAGCCCCATTTTCCTAGCAAATCTCCCATATAGTATTTGATTTGAAGAATTCCTTTAGTCTGACTAAAACATTTTATTAAAATAATTAGATTATTTTTCTACAATATTAAAACTATTAAGACATTAATATATGCAAAAAATAAATACAAAAATTGGGATGTAGCCTGTGATACATATTATTTTTTGATAAATTTTTTGATTCTAGCCCTTTACTTCATTTTTCTTTAATTTGATACATTTTTATAGAATAGGAATATTGTATCTATACCATAATCAGCAAATAAATAAGGCAGAATAGAAGGATTTATCTATTGCTAAGAAATGTAAAACCTGTTTCAATAATTTTGGTATAATAAAAATACTTATATGTGTTATAATTAATGCATATTTTATACTATATATTCAAATAAAAAAAAAATGCGATTTTGAGCTGAACTAAAAGTATTTTATGTTATCACTGCTCTAAATAATCAATATTTTCATATTTTACTTCTTTGAAATAGGATTACAAATTATTGTCTAATAATAGTTTTGAATTATATATATCTAAAGTTACACTAATTTCTCAAAACTATAGTATTAATAAGAAGTTAAAGACTGAAGTATGATTTATAAAGTCTTATATTAATAAACTCAGAGGATGATTTTCTAATCTTATCAGTAACCTTTTTTATAAAATCTTTAAGGTTTTTATAATTGATAAAATATGCATAATTATATATAATATGCTAACTAAAGATAGGCATCATAATTAAAAAAAATAGCACAATTGAATTACAACTTGTGGTGCAATTAAATTTTCTTATAGCAATTAAGTTGCAACTCAATTGAAATTTGAAAATAATTATGAGAACTATCTTTAATGCTAACTGTATTTATCAGCATTAAATGAGCTAGCTAAAGCAAATGAATTTAATATTATAAAGTATTTTAAATCAGAGTATATAATATTGATACAAGCAATTAGATTCTAGATAGCAAATCTTCTTGGGTAATTTCTTTATTATTTAAAGAAGGAAGTTCAGGATTTATAGAATCTAGGTTTTTTTTCACATCAATGTCAAGAATCAGACAAAAAAACAGATTCCTATCAATACATTTATAAGTATCAGATATTCCATAAATTTTAGATAGGTGATCAACTAGTATAAGCCTGATTTTACTACCTAAATGATATATTTAAAAAAATTTTCTTAAAATGATAGGTATCAAAAAGTGCTATATTTTCTTTATTGTTAGATACAAACAGATATTTAAAATACATATGATTAATATAACTAGGCTCAAAATCAAGGTCTGCTAAACCAGAAAAAAGCCTGATTGCTTTATTTATTTCTTTAGGATCAGGTCCAGGTTTTTTGCATAAGTAGTTTGATAATAATATGATAACAAAGTATAAAACTATATAGAAAATCAAAAACTTTAAATAAAAAAGCTCTATTCAATAAAATTTGCCATCAAACTATTGGGTTAATAATAGTATCCAAATGTAATTGAAGTGATGATATTTCAAGTAATCAAAGTAGTAATATTCTAATTAATCAAAATAGCGATACTTTAAGTAATCGAAGATACCTAAAATAATAAATATAGTAGTATCTCAAGTACTAACTATGTAAGAATGAATGTAAGAGATCTAGAAACCTAAAATATAATATAGATTTGGTGATATCCTAAGGTAGAACTATATTAAGAAAAGAAATAAGAAATTATAACTTGAGGTATCATCAATTTAATACTTTGTATCTCATTCTTAGTAATCAGATAGGTAATATAAGGCGAAACTGCAAGAATGATATAATATCAGTACATTATATATTTTATTTAATAATCAAAAAGTGACAAATAGATTGTAATACATTTTTGATAAATAGCAGGATTGCAAATTTGATATTTCGTATGTGATTTATTTTGTAATTAAGAAATAATCCAAAAGTAAAAATTATGCTCAAAAGAAATCTAGAAGTACATGAAAGTAAAAAAGAATATAAATCTAGTAGTATCCCAAGTTAGATTATTATAAGGTAAAGAGATTAGAAAAATTGACTTGACATACTACCAGTAATATGAGAGAAAGAGGTTGGAGAAAGCAGGCTAAATAAATGCGGTATAACTGGAAAAAGAGGTAAAACCTACCCTTATTGCAATATAACTTAGGTAAATAATAAGAATGCAAGTTCAGCACTTTACATATATCTCATTAAGTATACAAGAAATAATCCAAAAGTAATAACAATGCTTGAAAGAGTTCTAGAAATATAAGAACATAAAATAAAATATATATTTAATAGTACCTTAAGTTATAATATTATTAAAAAAAAATAGAAAATTATGACTTAGTATATTACTAATAAAAGGCAGAAAGAGGGAAAAGCTCAAGGAAATACAAGAAAAAAGAGTATAAAAGATATAATGTCTGAAACAATTTGGCATTTTATGTTACAATTTTAGTAATCAAATGGATTATAAAAGGTAGAATGATAAGAATATCACAATATTGACAATTCTGTCTGTAATACAAATTTGCAATAAATAGCAATCTAGTAATTTTAGTTATAAAAGATCACAAAATAATGAAAACAAGTGGATAATAAAGAGCAATAAAAAGGGTATAAAGTAATAAAAAAAACTAGATAGTTACAAAATAATAAAAAGGTCACAGAGTCCCTAAAAACAATAAATAGGAAAAAATTTATCTCAAATAAATAACAGTTTACCTACTAATATCTACATCTAAAATTGATTTTAAAAAATTTAACTTTTTTAAGAATACAAATTTCTGATAATTTGACAAATAGCAATAATGATTTTTTACTTTAATAACAAATTAGCAAAGCTTTTTAATTTCATTTTCAACAAATTTTATTCCTGCTTATACTTCTAAATTAATAATATAGCAGCACATCAATAATGATTAAAGTTCATATTATTAAATTCTTAATCTAATTCAAATGCTAATTGATTATTACATGCTATCAAATTACTTTGTTAATGCAAGTACATTATTATTAATATTGAATTTTTCAAGAATTTGTCAAAGGTTTCAAGTGATTAATTTCAGCAGGTTAAGATTTTTTATAGGAATTATATTAAGCATAATTCCAAGATAATAATCCTTGAAACATCTGAAGTCTATATGTCTGTTGTAAGAGATACCTTCAAATTATATGATAAAATATAGCAAGGATCCAATTTGTTGATTAGCAGTATAAGTTCAGGATTTTCAACAATAGTAAAAGGTTGTAAATCAGTTGCAATATAATCAACAAAAAGGTTTGTAATAGGCTTTGATTGTGATAGAGAATAGGGTTGAAAAGCACAAGGTAGTTTGACAAGGTTTGGGTTTTTGTATATTGTTAATGTTTATTTATTAAATGGCGTCGAAGGGATTACCAGTTGAATAAAAGTTTCGCACATAAAATGCATTTGTAATTTTTGATTGCACCATTTTCCTCACCTTGAACTCTATGAAAAATATTCCCACACATCTAAATTGGGAGCTTTTATATTCGTGAGAGTTTCCTCATCAGTTGCTAAAGAATTGGAGATAACATTCGAATTAATATCATTATTGCCGTCATTTGGATCATTTTCAAATGAAATTACGCCAGACATAGTTGTTCAATGAATGTAAAATTAAAAAAACCCTTATTTTAGTTAGACGCGTAAATTCGCGTGTATAATCATTGATAATCTATTGAACGGGGGGATGTTCAAAGTACTTTCTTCCTTAGAACTCGATCATCGTCTATATGAATCATTTGTCAAGCAAAATGAAATACACACATTTTCTGAAATTAAAGCCATCTAAGATAGGAAATACTATCAACCGGAAAATAAAAATTTATCATCAATTGATGCGATAGTTGCTCCCGATATTCTATTACAAATGACTACTTCTATGAACCATTGGATAAACTTTATAGCAAATTATCAAAGGATAGTGAAATTTCCTTTAATTTTGTCGTACCGGCACAATTATATGATCATTACCAAAAGCAAGAATTTGTTACTATTAAAAGAAAATAATGTCAGGAGAAATTCACCTTGGATTTGAGAACTCGTCAAGCAATATGCTTTGAGGATTGACTTTAGCGGGACAAACATCTCCAACTTGAATAACAAGATCACCAAAAAAATAAATACAATACTTTGTAATATTTTACGTTATTCCTAATAAACATTTATATTCATTTATTACTTGCATGGAATAGCACTCTTTCCACAATTTGATTCGGAAAAATTAAAAACACACCGTGGTCTATTGCATCACACACTTCATCACACACTTGGTTGCAAATATCATTAGATTCAGCACATCCATATTATGTATTATGTATCTTTACAGATTTTATTATTCATGATATTTGATAAAGTAACATTATTTTAGATGATTCAAGTATAATAAGTATAATGAGAATTATATACATTACGAATAATTCAGAAAAAAATCTAGGCAACTCTGTGAAAAAAAACCAAATTGATTCTGTTAAAAATAAACCAAGATGCAGTCATGTAATGGATTTATTGTTCAAATGGATTATTTATTCATAAAATGAGCTAAAGATCGAAAGCCAGCTTTTCATATGTATAAGCTGGGGAATAATCAGTCTAGGAGGTAAATAATATTTATTTTTAGAAGTATTTTTTTCTTAAAAATCACTCATTTGCTTAATAAATCAAATTAATAGTAAAATTCGCGTCAAGAAATAATATTATTTTCCAATGCATACAGATCCTAATCAACGTTAGTTTAACAAATTTTTACCGCGTAAGTCGCCCGGAAAGTACAAACACCAAGCAATAGGTAAAGTTTTGAATTCGTCGGTCTTCTCCTTCTCACAGCGGTTACAATAACAAAGAAACCCATAAGATCGTAAAAGTTGCTTATGACGGGACTTTTTGTTATAATCCGGATTACAATAGGTCAAAAAAAGTTGTTCACCTTTTTTTATATCATTTTTAGCAATAATAGTCATTCGATAAGAATTACAACCAATGGAGCGTAGAGTTTTACGAAGCATCTTATAAATCGAAGGCATGGTGATGGTGTTCGATTTCGGCCATTCTTGTAAATATTGTCGTCCTTCAACGTTATTATCACAATTATGATTAAATAGTGCGATTAAGGGGAAGATTGCCGCCGTATCGTGAACGGTTTGATCGATCACAGGTCCCCCAAATGCATTCGTGCTAATCATCGCGATTAACGTGATAAAAATCCAAAAATCAAATTTTAAATTATAAATTGAAATCTCCAATATTTTCAAAATTTCCAAATAAATCTTTTCAAAATCCCCATCCCATAAATCATGATTCTCCAAATAATGTAACGTTGTATTAAATCTTGTCAAATGTTTGATTTCTTCGACATCCAAAGGACAGACACTTCTTTTTTTGCCAATGGCGAATAATTTTAATAATAATAAAAGATTGTTCTTTTTGATGTCTCCTCTTTCCCTTTGAATGTAATCAATGAGACGTTCAATATCCTTACCACAAAGTACATCATGATAAAGGTTCCTTGCCAAACAATAACATTCATAATTACAAAAAGATTCTTGACATGATGAGTTTGGACAAGGATACCTGAAACGAGATTCTTCATCATCGCCCGGTTCCTCTTCAAGAAAGTGAAAACAGTAATCACATCGAAGGTAATAATGATTATGAATGGTTAAGAAAGGATCTTCTTCCATAATGATATCTTCAACCTTAATGTCAACATTGGAGACAACTCCCAACTGAGTTAACGGATTTTCATCGCCCGAATCAAATTTGATAAAATCCAACTTTAATTTGCCATTACTAACCGAATCAAGTTTATGTTGAAGTTCCCGCAAGGCAGATTCTTTTATACGTTCATCAGGTCGATGATCCCAAGGATACTTTCCGTTAAATTGATAAAATCCAACGTCTTCTTCCGTGATCAAAAACGTTTCGTGTTCCTTTTGACCTTCCTCAACCATCTGATGTATTTGTTTCAAATTAATTTCGGATAATTCTATCCTACGTTCCAACACCTTTTTTCGATCTAAATAATTCATTCCGACAAAATGTTTGGTTTCATCTTCAGATATTATAACGCTAAACGCTTCTGCTGCTAAACGTGGTAAGCCTAACGCAACCAAAGATTCGGCATATCGAAACTTCCCTTTTTGATAAACGGTTTCTAATGATTGATCACGACTTAATGCGTCTTGATCACATAAAATGATAACCCTACGAGCGTCCATCAAGGCAAGTTCAGGAAATCCAGCCTTTAAGCACGCAAAAGATCTATTTGACCATAAAACCGGATCTTTTGGTGTAATCTCTAACCCTTTTGTATATTCCTCCCATGCCCGAATATAATCTTTATTTTTAATGGCCTCGTTTCCGTTCTTACGATGTTGATCGGTCATCAAAACTCAAAAAAGAAATAAGATCAAAATAAATTGCCCCGCCTGATCGACCAGATCGTTTTTTATATAGATCCAGTGATGCTGCGGAATGCTTAGTTTACCACGTGATCTGAAACTTGTGATATGGCTTTCATATCACATGCAAACGTTTGTTTTTAGGATTCGGAGATATCAAGAAGACGCGTATCCAGTGGGACGACATTTTTCGGTCCTTGCAGATGAAGCGGAACAAAAATGTTATGCATGATAAAAAATACATATACAATATACCTACAACCGACCTTTCATAGTCTGCGCATTTCGCATCGTGCATCAAAATTTCCATTCTTCAAAAAAAAAAACATAACATGCATATCATGCAACATGCGTTAAATAAATAACTTTGAAGGATTTCCAAATAAAGTTCTCGAATTGAAATATTAAATTTTATTTTTATTTTATTCTTCCTATTGATATCCGCATTTGGATTACAAAAAATTGCGTATCCTCGTTTATAAGAGTTTTTTTTTTTTTGATTTCATTTTATTTACCTTTATTGCAATTGCGTATAAAAAATTCCCGACTGATTATGTGCAAGGATAGGATAATTTTTCTTCATGCCTTAAAAAAGTTAAAGGCACACACAATGTAAATTAATTTGTTTTGCATTTTTTTGTTCATTCACAAGCTCGCAGGAATTAATACTTTTCTTGTGATTAAAAATAACGGCCGAAAAAAAAAAATAAGAGAAGAATCGAAGAAAAAACAACCGGATTTTCTAGCATGAAAATTTTCGTATCATTGCAGCACCGCCACAGAGACCTGAAGCGGTTGCCTTACCGGATAAGGAAACGTTAATCTAAAAACGGAAATAATAAATGATTCATGTCGTTCAAAATTGCGGCCATGTTACGAAAAAAATAAGCTTGATCAAATGCATGAGGCTGGTTATTTTGATCGAGGTCGTGGCTGAATGCAAGGGAACGTCAAGTTGTGATATGATAAGAGAAGTTTAGGAAATTTCACAAATATCACAATGCGTGAGATCTGACAAAAAATCGAATATAAACAAAACAAATAAAAAAATATTGGGTTTGTAATTGTTGTTCCATGTATGGAAAAAATTTATTCCATTCAACAAAAACGTGTAATTAATTTTGACAAAACTATAGGACTTAAAACTCCGATTTCCCCGATATGGTTTAGTTGATTATAATAATTGAAATCATTTATTCAATAAAATAAATAAATAAATAAATTTATTGTTATGTATTCTTTTTTTAAACGTTTACAAATTTCACGACATGAAATTTTAATTTAAATCATCATTAAACTAAGATTTTATTTGAAAATCAAATAATATTAATTTATTGTTAAACGGCAATTATGTAAATGACAATTTTACTATTTTAATATTTTGGTTTCGACGAGATTGATAAAATTTAATGTTATTTACATGAAAAAGGTTCCAACCTCACGAACTGAAATTAATTTGTTTTTTAATTTATAAAAAAAAATAAAGTCACAATGAAAGTTTACTATCTTATGTAAGATTTGGAAACCAATCATCTCAGATTACCATCATAAAAAAAAACCACGCGAGAATTATTATTACCCGAATTTTATAACAAGTTAGACTTAAGGGGAAATAAAATAAAAAAAAATAAGGGAAAAAAAATAAACAAACAGTTCGTGAGGTCATGAGGAATAAATTCACGGCCGAACTCATTCCCAATTCTATTATTTCAAGAATTCGATATCCAAACACATCAGGTAGGTATATTGTAATCTGCACTGCCGGTCATGATTTGTTTGCCAAATAAAATTTTTATGTTCCCTTATATTGATCTTGATTTTCTTTTCAAAAGATCGATTGCCTCCTGTGGCTAAATTATCAATATAACAATTTCGTAGTCGTTAATCCAATGTGGCACAGTAAGAACTTTTTTAGGTCTTGTCATATGACCAATAAACATTGAACTTATGATTATACAAAATTATAAATCAACGAAAATGTCGATTAATAATTTCTTAATCGAGTAAAGATTATAGAATGGAATTGAAGAATGTTTAAAAGTAAATCATGATGATAACTAATCATGACACAATTTAAGAAGTTCTTTTAAAAAAAAAATTTTATTATTTTCTTTTGGAAGTTATCAGCCGCGAAGTCCCGCATGCACTTTAGTGTGCATTTAAATTTCCAAATTTATCAACTTACGGCAGGGCGCTCCACCGCAGTAAATTCCGTAATGACTCATTCCGATTTGTTTACAAGAAATTCATTTAAAGTTAGATCCGTATTCCCTGCCTTGATTTGTTCGTTCTTTCCATTACTATTTTTCTTGTAAAAAATTTCAAGTATAATTTTTGGTTGAAAGAGAGTTTTATTCGTAATTGCGTAATTGGTCAAAAAAAAAAAAATAAAGTTCAAAAGAATGGATCATTGCCGTGTGGATCATTCAAAAAAATATTTTACATAAATTTTTATTTTATTATTAAAGTTGAGATATCTCTTTTTTTTGATGCGAAAAAAAAGTTTTATCTCAATTATGTTCGAAGATGCATACATTTTTTTTTTAATTCCATCCAATTAAAAAAATTTCGTATCTTTTGTCGTTTTTCATATTGTTCGTGACACCGTTTTATTATACAACTATAGTATAGTTTATATGAAAACATTATTTCGTAACTTCAGATAAGAAAAAAATTTTTTGTATACCGTACTTGCAAAGAATGCGGTGTAACACATAAAGATCGGACCATGTATCACAAATCTTCACGACTTCGAAATTTGTACTTTAAAAAAAAATTTTATTTTTTGTTTTTTTTTGAAGTCATTGAAAAAAACCTAGGAAAAAAAAAAGTATAAACAAAGAAATCGAGACAATAAATATAAGAAAAAAAATTACAAAATGAATATAAAAAAAAAATGATGATTATGTGATAATGTATTTGGTTATGATGTTGAGAATTACTGTAATTATTCTACTACTAGTGTATTTTTTTTTTTTATGTATTTGAAAATGTTAAAGAAATTAAAAATTAAAGGATGAGAAATCCCAATCATTTAAATCAAAGCTATTGAAATATTGTATACATTATAAGCTAAATGATATCTTTTTTTAACATACATATATATATTATACACATATATATGATGTTCTATTCATCAGAAAAAAAAATTATTTAAAATTATATATATTTATATATGTATGTAAATTCTACAATATTCAAAACCTCCTCTTAATCACAACCTCTCAATAATATGAAAGAAAAAAAAAATAATGTTCATGAGATCAAATTTAAGCCTAATTGAAAATAAAGAAATATGAAGTCATTCATATGGCATGATGGATCATGTTAATCAAATATCAACGAATTATCAAGACTTTCACCTTTTCCGTAAAAGCTTTCAAAATCGGCCGGTAAATGACCAAATTTCTTATATAAGCTACTTTTTATACGACAATGTTGAAATACCAAAACATCGTATCGTTCAAAGAATTCATCAGGTAATTCCCAGCTATCAGGATCAAGAGGTTCCCCGTGGCATATCGCCTTATTAATCAACAATTCACATAATTCGTAAAGATCATATTCATCTTTATATTGAATCATACGAGACCGTAAGTGTAAACATGGAATCATGTCAATACGACGATCATGATCTATTGTCAAGTATTGGATTTGTTGTTCGGTGAGAGGATGTCTTATCTTTGGCATGACAGGTTGAGGATATGTCTGACCAACTTTCTTACTCAATCTAATTATCTGATCTTCTTCCTTCGATAACCTCTTCGTCGTATCTTGTTGTTGTTCAGATGACGGCGAGACATCCGAGTTATTAAATTCCACACCGGGAAATTCTTCAAGATCATTGTCATTCAGATAAGCTGAGAAGACATCAGCAAAATTATAAACCGTTCCATCCATGAACGGAGAGGTTGGACCGGATGAGTTGTTCTTATTTGTGTTAGCGGTGTCATCGTTCGATGATTCGGTAGAACCTGTAGAAACGGTCGAATTCGATTTAGACATTACTTGTGATGATGATGAAATGGCCGACTTGTAAAATGAAGCAATCGATGAATTGAAAGGGTAAGAACCAACAAATGAAGGTTCATGACTGATTTGTATGCCAGGAGTTGGATTGACGAAAGGTTTCATATCAGCAAGGGTCATCTCACGAGCAAACTCTTCAGCAAAGAAGGTACTTGAAGGTGAGATCGATTCAGCGATCGATTCAGGCGTTAAGGGTGAACTCGCAATACTAACGGATTTGGTGGAAATGGTGCTTGATCCATTAGGAGACATCATAACGTTACTTGAAACTGGTGATGAAACACCGAGATGTGCATCACGACCATTGGAGCTAACGGGAACTTGAAATAAATCGAGAAAATTATTTTGTAGTTGTTGTACGGTTGGAACTTGTCGTGATTGTAAACCAGCGTGTCGCATCTGCAAAGCCCCAAAACCAAAAGGGGATGTAATATGTCCGATAATACCACTAACTCCGGTTAAAGGTTGAGAAGGGGCAGAAGAACGAGCGGGTATGTTGAGGGATAAAGCATTCTTTATCTTTGTAGTAGCATCATTGTTCCCATTAATCTTGTTTAAAGCACATTCAAAAGTAAACGCGATCTCTTTTAAATAATAGTTTTCGGACTCAAGTTGCTCGATCAACGAGCGATAGTGCGTTAGTTCTCTTTGAACTTTAAGCGCAGAGTCGTATTGATTTTCGCGTAAAGTCTTTATAGTATTTTCGAGTTCTCGAAGGTGACGTTCTTTTCTTTCTCTGAACGCTCTTTGAGCGGCTCTGTTTTGAGCTTTGCGTAAAGCGGGTGAAGCGGGGTTTGGCTTGCGACCAGGTTTTTTCCTTTGTGGAGGAATAGGTAATTGTTGTGATTGTTGTTCTTGCTGGTCAGGTTGTTGATCCTGTTGTTGTTTTAGATTCGAAAAATCTTCATTAATAATATCATTCATTTCTTCAAGCATTTCTAAATCGTCGTCTTCGTCACTTTCAAAAGTGAATCGGTCTTGAGAATAAATATTTGAAAGTTGTTCAGTGGAAGTTCTCTTTAGAAGTTTTTGAATCGGACCACCTTGTTGAGACTCGTCACCAGTAAAGGCGTCAAGTTTTCTTTTTTCGGTATTGATAAAGCTGATTTTCGTCGTCATGATGATTAATTAATTAGGATGAAAGTACGTTAAATAAAACAAAAGTTTTTAAAAATAAAAAAAAAAAAATTAGAAACGAGGAAAGTGGTCGGTATATATATAAAAACGTGGAAAAAAATATTTGGATCTTTTTTTTTTTTTTTTAATATATCTGAAAAAAATTTTTTTTTTTTTTGTTAAATTTTTTTGTTGTTGATAAACTACTTATATTTATACAAAAGATGTTCATCTCCTTTAAAATAAACATACATATATTGTGTATATTATTTTATATATGTGTACAAACACTGAATACAACACTAACAATATAATTTATATATTATTATATTATATATTCTTATTTTAAATTTACATTAAATATTTTCGTTGATCGAAAATGAACCTTTTTTCAAATGTTTTTGGAGTAAAAGTAAACAAATGTTTTTTTGAGCAAGAAAAAAATGAAAATTCCTTTTGTGCACAAAAGTTAATTATGAGTATATTTTTATATTATTGGATAAACAACTTTCCGACATCCGAAATTAAGAAGGAATAAACATGAGGAAAATCTTTTATACTCCAAACGCACAGCCAATGATAATTTCCAAATAAATAAAGTACTTGAAACGCAGCAACGAAAAAAAAAACTTACTTTTAATTTATATGGTATATTGTTCCACTTATCACACATATGTGGTTATTCTAAAAAATGGCGATATTGTGATTGTGATATCAACCACATGGTGAGGGGTTTGAATAATAGAAATTTTTTTTAGGAGAAGGTTCTTTAAATTTCTTTTGTTGACATATTCACTCAAATAAGTCTAGCGACTAACTTTCTCTCCTCTCCTCATCCGGAATCATCCGGAAATTTCCAAAACTCAACTTTTCATTATGCGATTGATAGGTAAAGGCGGAATGACTAAAGGAATTTTTTTTTTATGATCGATTTTTTTTTTGTTACAAGGGTTTTTAATTTTTTATTCGTTCGGGACTTAAATTTGTATGGCAAATCCAAAGGGAATTAATTTCCTATTTCCCCTTCGGGTCATTGCCCATAAAAGAAAGATCTCCGAAGAGAAATTAATTAATCATCCACCACCTTCATTTACATAATTTTTCGATTTTTCTTTTTCACACGATTCGTCTTTGAAATGAACCTTGGTGTCGGGATTTTTTTTTACAGTTTTTTCAAGATAATTTAGCACGCACGTGTTAAAGATGCGAGGGAACATTCGTGAAGCCTTGCACCTATGCCAAATGATTCGTGGTTTGGAATTCTTGACGTTTTACTGATATATTTTTGCGTGTGATACATATGATTTATGGAACGTGCGTATTACACCTAATCCCTTGATAATATCACGAGAATCAACCATTTCCCGCCCGTGAAAGATTTTTTGTGTGACCAAGACGATTAAGCTTTCCCTTTTTTACGCGCCATTTATTTATTTTTTTTTTTTTATAAAGAGAAACCAAGGAACATCATTATCCAATGGGATGTCAAATTTCGATAAATATAAATTTCCAATAAAGGGAATTTTCAAAAAAAATTCTAACAAGTAACTCACTTATGGCAAAGATCGACGTATCAAAAATGGTTAGAGTTTCGGACAATCCCGTCTTAATATCCCTTGCCATTGAAAAAGAATGACATATGTTTGCCACATTCAACTTTTGTTTAATCACAGATTCACAAAAAAGAAAAACGAATGCCGATGACCTTCAATAAATGTAATAGGTTGAAAAAAAAAATTCGTTAATCATTTTTACAGGTAACTAATTTAGTAACAAATAAAAAAAATATGGAAGCTGTCAAATGAATTTCAATCCCTTTTTTTTTTAATAAAAAGGTTGAAAGAAGGGTTTAATTATGTTTGAATTTGGTCTAGCTCACCCTTCCCGTGAACCCATGACTCTCCCTTAGTTATCTCTTCGGGCCATCGGCAGGTGTGAATTCATTTTTCCATTTAAATATTTTTTTTTTTTAAAGAAAACGTAACGTCATAATTAATTGACAAGCTAAAATGTTTTTTTTTCTTGACCCTGGCGGGAATGATAGAAACGATTAATGCATCTACATCTTATCTGTCTGCGAATCCATCAATAAAACACTCATTCAATATCCTTGTATACATGATAACCTACCTTTTCTCACATTATGTATATTATTATAGTAATTGATAAGATTTGATTTGCAAATACTCATGATATAAATAAACAGTTGTGCAACTCGAGATTAAAAAAATGCGCCGATTATCATTTTCGCAAAAAAAATCATTTTTCTGGCCGCTAGAATTTTTTTCCCTAGTTGTACAGGAATGACCTTATCATTGTAGAATGTACGTCGCCCGTCGCATTTTTCGATAGAGGATGACGGAACGTTGTAATGAGAAAAGTCTCTCGCGAATAAATTCCCTTGGGTTTATCATACTTGGCCGACGCGTTGCGAACAATTGTCAGAAAATGAAATGCATAATCTTTGCGTATTACGAGTGTTGATGCATGTGCGACCTGGACCTTTCAATTGTTCAAAAATGAATCCATTGCTACTTTTTAGTATAAGAGATAAGAAAATGTCGAAATTTGATCGGGAGAAAAAATCAGATAACTCGTATCTTCTTTTTTTTTCTTATCAATACGGAAACAAATTGTTTGGTAAATAAGGTCAATGTTAATAGTTTTCCCACATGAAAATCGCCAAAAAAATTTTCCGAATACACAATGTTTTGTTCATGTGTTTCACTTGTGCGAAGAACTTATCCGTAGTAACTAAACAATGGTTTTCTTATAATAACCGTTACACGATTTTTTTTTCTCGAGAGGTGCTATCCTCGTGACGAAAATAATAAATAATTCGTGCATGAAGAAATCGCAAAAAAATATCATCACATCAAAAAAAAAAATCATTTCACAATTACGAGATTGTCACCATTGTGATGACCATTTAAATTTCCGCTTTCGGACAAAAATATTTATTCACTTGCCTCCGCTTGCTCCATGTCATGCATGCCATGCAAAAAAAAAAAATTATTTGCTTTTTCAAATATTCCTCAAACATACTGATAAACGAATAGATTATTACAAAAATTCTTAATTCCTTAATGACTTAAAATAAAAAGATTCTTTTCAAAGACCTTCATCAGTTAAATTACGGGATCTCCTTCCTATGCGGAGAAATAAACCACTCGCGTCGTTTGTATTTCCTTTGCGTGTTCACAAACTAGTTTATTTATTATATTATTATTATTATTGAATCAAAAAGGATTTCTTTCTCCTTGGCCAAAAGAGTTGAAAATCATATGTATTTACATCATGTGTCGTGCTGGCTACTCAATTACACAGTCTTTTATCCTAATTCAAATAATAAATGTAACCATGGCTTGTTGGACAGTTCCAATGAGTTGGTTGATTGTCGAATAGCGGATGAAAGATCGACACTATTTGAAAAAATAATGTTTTTCCGGATACCGACATGCACAAAAGTCGTGTTACGCGCGAGTTGTTTTTTGTTTTTTCATTCTATCAAATTTATATTTACTAAAAAAAAAAAAATAAATAAATATAAAAAAAAAAGGAAAAAAGGAAAAACAAAAAACGAAAATGGAAAAGGAATAAAGAAAAAAATTAGTGATTGATCAAGATGGTTAAAATAAATTTTTTCTTCGGAAGCATTGCGGTCGAACCGGCATGCGATATGTTCTAGAACAGGCTTTAATTACGGATTCGATTGTCATCTCGCGGATGACGGTCCGAGATCCTAAGATTATGAACTAATGCCATGGAATGCAGACCGGAACGAAAATCCACCGATGGACGTGAAGGAATAAAAATAAATATATATATTTCAAGTAATTTTTTTCTTGAAAATGTTAAAAAAAGATCGAAATTAAAGCAGGGGTCAATATAAATAGTATCATTCTCGTTTTAAGGAATTTGTTTATTAGCATCCTATGCTGTTCACCAGAAAATAAACTTTAATTTCAACTGATATGACCCATTATGACGCAATTTCTCGTACATGTTCAACGAAAATTTCGTTATAATTATCCGTGTACGACAGCAAAGATTCCTTCGTTTAATAGACCCTTTTGATTTTGGTGAACAGGTTTCAAAATGATGATGAAAAAATCTTGTCAATCGTAAATCACATCAAATCGTCATTTTACATAATGAAATAAAGGGGTACATAAGTTTCAAGTTACCGTACAATCTCGAGGATTTCTCTCTTTTATGACCATGTGGAATCCGTACTTGGTAATTAAAAAAGAGTTTAATGCTTGAACAAATCAAATGTTTGCAACTCAAGATTTATTTTTTTTTGGAACAATTATGTATTGTTTTATATTTAAGGTTTAGGTCAAACGATATTCCGAACTTCAACATCAAAATAATTAAAAGGAATTAAGGGTCTAATTAATGTGTGAAGGAGAAGTTTAATGTATGACATTTAGCTCGTGAAAAATTTAAATAATTAATTGAATTGAATTCAAAATTTGGAATATCCGTTAATCACACAATATTATAACTGCATGGGCCATAAATAGTGATCATCGTTTTAAATTTATCATATGTGGACCAGTTGTCATCAAACATATGAATCACATGGTTGGATTATTGTTTCAAACCACGATATGTCGGTCGATAACTCGGTTTTAATTAAAAAAAAAAAATTAAAATTTGCTGTGCTTCATACAAAGCAACCGTTTGTCGAGAAAATAATTCTTTATGTTGCGTGATTTTAATTATTTTTACATGTACATTTTATCGCTTTCTTCGTTTTGTTTGTAATTAATTGTAGATCGAGGTGGTCACTTTTGGAATTCAAAAGGTTCATTGTTTTTGACACCACGCGTTTATTTTCATATTTTTTTAATCGATTATAATAATCACCGGAATATGCTTTTGCATGTACTAATTTAAGAAAACAATCAATCATTCAATAACTAGGGGGTGGTTTTTTTTTTCATATGTTGGAACATGAAAACGTGTTTAATCGGGAAAATATTCTGTCTACATCTCTTTTCTTTTCCCGATATAAAAACAAACAAATTTAAGCAACGGCCGAACTTTTGGCTGCTTTTCACAACTATCCTTATTGGGGAACATGGTAAAAATGGTTAAATTTCTTATTTCCCATATGAAGTACGATACAGAACAATACTGTCGTACAAACATGGAGATCGATGAAATTTTGTGATAAAATAAAAAAATTTACGTGATGATCAAAAAACGGAAAATCAGAAATTACGGAAATTTTCCGAAATTTCTGTGAATTAAACAAACATCTTATTAATAATCAATTAAAATTTGAGTATTTTATTTAATAAAATTGATAATTATTTCTGTCCAACTTCAATTTTCCTCTTGTTGGCCAATTATGTCCTTTGCTTTTACAATTTTGACAGAATGGATATATAGTTGTAAATTTTTTTTTAAATTTTCTATTTGATTCTAATAGTCTATTATTTTCTTCACAATAATAACAAATAATCTCTATTTTTAGAAGATGATATGAATAATATACTGCTTCAACTGGACTATTATAATAAATCTTTTGCCTAATATAAATTTTTCTATAAAGATTCTAATTTGTGATTGACATAAAATTAATTCCAGTAACTTCTATAGATCATTTGATAATTCTTTGTAGATCAACTTTTTAATAGTAAATATTTAGCTGGTAATAATGTATTTCATAAATTTTTTGTATTTAAATTTATAATAATATAATTTAAAGTTTTTGTGAATTTTTTTAAACAATTTTTTCTTTTTTCTTTAAAAATACATCTTTATTAAAAAAACTTTTATAATTATACTTAATATATATAATTTATTATTTACCAGTTGATAAATAAAATTATTTTTTATATTATTATTCTAAAATAATTATTTATAGGATAATTACTTATATTTTTTTGTAAACCTTCTTATATTTTTATCAACATTTAAAAGAATTACAAACTAAATCTAAATTTTTAATAAGATTATTATATTTTTAATTGTTTTTTTTATGTTTTTAATCTATCTTAATAGTAGAATTAGAAGTAAAAGTTGTAATAAAAGAGGTTAAGATAGAAATAGAAGTAGAAGTAAAAGTAAAACTAGAAGTGATAAGTTTATTTAAATGATCATTATTACATAATGTTATAATTTTTATTTTTTTATTAACTAAAAGTTCTATTAAAAGAGTTAAATAATTTGATATCTATTTTACTTTTGTAAAAGTCAAATTAAATTTAGTCTTTTCTAATACCAATTAATAAAGTTATCATGATTTTTATTTAATTTTTTAAAAAAATGTATTAAATAAAAAATTAAAAAACAAACTAAAAAATTATCTTAATTTATAAAATATTAAAATTAACAATTTTTAATTTTTCTTAAAGAATCATTAAATTTAGCAGGTTCTCATAATTAGAGAAGTAATTTGTGAATAATAATCTACACAAATAATATAATTCAGATATCTAGATCAATTTAAATATTACAGATTTGTGAAATTTATCTATATAATTTGCAATTAATTTGTAAATATATATTACTATGTAATTAATAGAACAATTAAATTTTAAATAATAAAGTATTATATAAAATATTATATATTATACAATAAAAAATAAAATATAGAAATAATCAAATCAGTTTTATTTTATGCATATCATATATTATATTATAAATTTGATAGTATCAAAAAAATAGATAACTATAAAAAATTTATCAAAAAATTAAATTATTATAATTTTTTTTAATAATAATATTATACTTATAAATAATTATTTATATATATAATAATAATATTTGCAAAATATATATATTAAAATAAATAAAATATGTTTATAAAAAAGATTTATAAAATTAGAATCAATTAACTATAACATAAATAAATTTAAATTTTTAGATATAATGCAGTTAACATAGCAGAAGAAACTATTTTACTTACAGCTTTAAGTGATTATAATTATATATGAAGTCGAAATAGATCATTTTTGATATCTGAAATGATTGAAATAATAGAAATCATTTTTTTTTTAATGATGTGGCACTGCTAATAACTTTATTTAATTTTTATAAGTAGTAAATACAAAAGTAGAAACAAAAAACTAATCTTAAAATATTAGCTATCCTCTATAGTTATATTACAAATCCATTTGAATCGACTTATCATCATCTTTTCTCTCCAACAGACCACTAAATGCATATTTAATGACTACTGTTATCGTTATTACCAGAAAAAGAAAAAGAAGAAAGTCAGTGCCTATCTAAAAATCCGTCCAAGAGTTATCATATTTGTTTACCTTGTTAATCTATAATTTTCAAATTATGGATGAAGGTTTTTTAAGGAAATGCGGTAAACGTTTGCAGACACCATGCTTGCATTTGATTTTTTTATTAATGCCTTTTGAAAGTTCATAAGTAAAAAGAAGTTTGCATCTATATTTCTATACATTATTATATAGATTTTTAAAAAGAATATTAAGAAATTCATGATAGTTATATAACAACTATTCTTATTCTTTGTAATTTTGTGAATAAGTGAAATAAATTCACTAGGAAGTTGATATCAAATAATATTTAGAAATCCATTCATTGAGAAAGAAGGGAATGCAAAGAGTTCATTGTAGGAACAGAGTAGTTCAGATAAAGTATCATAGTATGAGTTAGGGTTGGAGTGTTTTTTCAAATTAGTTAATAAAAGATCTTTGGTTTGTGAGATAATATTGTTGATAATTGTAGAGTAGGCTGAGCAAGACCACATATGAGTAGAAATTTCAGTGGTAATATTGCAACTAACACAACACCAATTTTTATAGAGATCAGGTCTTAATTGTTCTAATCGAGAAAGAGTAGGAAGTTCATTAACAAAAATTTTGATAATAAAGAATTTGAGTCATGAAGTTTCAAAAGATGTTGATAAGGAAGAGAAGTTAAGGGTGAAAAATTGCCAAATAAGAGGTCAGTGAAAATCACTATGAGTATTAATGTGATCATTCCTATTAAGATCTAAAAAAGGTTAGAAGCTAAGAAAAGATTCTTGAAAAATTGATGAATAGAAGATTTAATAGGAATATTATTGAAAGTGAAAATCAGAGATAATCTAAGAGTATGAACAAGAGAAGGTGATAAAGAAGGAAGATCATGACCAGCTTTAGCTAGTGAGTCAATCATATCATTAGAAAAGTCTCTATTATGAGCTTTAACTTTGTGAAGATAAACTTGGAGTTCAGAAGATTCCATTATATATTGGATGAGGTATCATAATGTGTAGTTGGCTGATTTTTCTTTAGTTCTTGTAGAAAATGATTGCTGAGTAATGTGAGAGTGAAAGCCATGAATGGTAGCTTGACTATCAGTGTAAATCTGTATAGTTGAGTATTTGGGAGAGATAACTAAAGCTGAGAGAATAGCGAAGATTTTAGCTCGAGTTGAGGAGAGCCAATGATTAATAGAAGCATTGAACATTAATTGTGAATTTAAATCAGTATGACAGATCCAGCCAATACCCATTTTACATTGATCAGTTTTTGAAGTAGAAAGAGAACTATTTGTATAAAATGATAAAAATTTACAGGTAGAAACTTTTGAATTAATTGATTGCAGTTGATCGTGATAAGAGGAATTAGGAAAGAATCGTTCAATAAGATCTTGAGAAGAAGAAGGAGTATTAGGTATGATACAGATAAAATAAGGTTATATAATTCTAGTGATTTCATGCAAGGTATGTCTAAGTTGATGAGACATTATTTTAGCAGATTTTGGTGTAATGAGAACTTGGACAACTCTGTGTTTTGCCATAGAAAAATTACAAAAGTCATAATATGGAGTTGATAGAAATCTATTACAACTATTACATTTGACAAGCCTTCCAATGTTGTTCTCAGAGGAGTAGATGTAATGTTGAATGATGAACTCATCAGGCTTACTATTTTTATTTATAATTTAGCCGAAGACAAGTGTGATATTAGTCAGATCCTAGATAGAAATGAATTCTTTTTTCTGTCTGTTAGCATTATAGGTTTAGCTAGATTGAGATAGTTGGGAAGATGGTCTAGAAAATATTCCTCTTTAAGAAGTGTATCTGAAGGGTTTTCTAATACAAAGGATTCTAAAAGGGGTATAAATATTAAATGACGTATTATTGTAGTAGAATGATTAAAGTCTTTATATAAAAAGTCAGCCCAAGTGATAAGATGATGTTCTGTAAATGATATAAGCTGATCTAAATAGAAGAGATTATGCTTTTTAGTATATAATGATGATGGATGAAAACATTAAAAGAAATG